TGGCCCTGCCCTTCTTGGTTCCGGGTCCCAGCAAGTCTTGGGCATCATCTGGGCTTTGGCTTCTGCAGGGGCTGCTCCTGCCCCCGTGGGCTAAGGCTGCAGAGCCTCCACAACATGGGCTGCCCCTCACATGGTCTGATCCCTCCTCCCAAGGATGCCCCTCCAGCTCCCTGTGCGTCTCTGCCCTGCTCCAGTGGCTCTGCTCCTTTGCATAGGGGATCTGCAGCGTGAGGTCTCCTCCCTCTTCACCCCATCTTTCTTGTGTGAGTGGGGTCATCATGCCCTCTCTGGAGCATGGGATATCCTCTTCTTGCTCTAGGCTGCAGCCAGTGGAGGGACTTTTGCCTTTTGGCTGGAGGGACCCATCTGCAGGCTGCAGCCTGCAGCCAGGGAGTGCCACAGGGCAAGGCCACACCAGACCAAGAGCCTTGCCCTCCTCACAGAGTCTCTGCAAACCTGGGTCTCCTGTCCTCCAGGCATGTAAGTTGCCCGGGGCCATGGGAGGTGGGGCCAAGTCCCAGCTAGCTGTAAACAGGGGTCCTCCCACCCCAGTTTCTGAGCATTTCTTCAGAGCGTTGAAATGGCACCTAGAGCCCACCAGTGAGGATGACCAGGTTAGGTGGTGTGGAACCACTGGGACTGACCACACTTGTGCTCAAAACAAGAGTGTGGCTGGTCACAGCCTAATAGGCAGGTGGACATGTGGCCCAGGAGGGAGGCAGGTGGTCTGGGATGTTCTGGACTCAGGGCTGTTTGGCTCTGGAGGCTATGGCTTTTGTGTTGTCTCCTTTCCTCCAGAGCAGCCCCCCTTGGATTTCATCCTGGTGCTTTTATGAGCATGCCTAGATGGCCCATTCTCATGAGCAAGCAGTTTGAACTAGCAGTGTGGTTTATGCTCATAAATGGGGTGGGTGGGGAGGGAGCAGGGCTGGGGCTTCGAATGGCCTTGAAAAGCAACCCCAGACAGTAGCCTTGTATTTTTAGTGTCCCCTGCAACAATTCTTTGACTTAGAGCAGGAATTTCCGCTGCTTCTACACCCGAGACAGGATTCACCAGATGTTAATAACGTGCTTATTTTCGCTAAGTGCTATTTTGGCACCGGTGTTAATTGCAATTTATATTCTGCACCATTTTACACTGGGAAAAGAACCCACCCTGATGGCTCCCAATTGGCAGAATGAGGCTGTTAAGCGGTGGACCATATGCTGTCTGCCAGGAAGAGCCTGGTCAGCACGCAGCTCCATGCCTGTGTGTGTGCACATGTGTGCACGTGTACCCTGTGTGTGTACATGTATGTGCATGTGTGAGTCTCTGTGCTGTGTCTGCGCACATGATCCTAAGTGAGGGAGAGAGTCAGGAAAGTGGAGGAGGCAGGGCTTTTTTGTCCCTTTGTTTTTCTAAAGAGAAGCCCCTGACCTCTCTCTGCTGCCCTACTGTCTGCTCCATACCCAGCTGTTCTTTCCTCCCTGAACCTCAAAGGCCCCTCAGCCCCATTTCCTGCAGCCTGTAGCCCATGGTCTGCTCCATATCACCAAGCAACACAGCCCCACCAGGCTTCTGATAGTGTTCCTAGGGAAGGCATTGAGGAAACCGGAGAAAAGGTGCACTTCTGTGCCTTCAGGCGCTTCCTTCCTGCTGGGGTAGCTATTCTCATTTCTATGGAGAGATGATTTTGTTGTCTGGCCCAGGGAGACTGGGTGAAGAACACTACTCTTTCACACAGCAGAGGGCTAGGTCTGTCCCTGCGTAAGACCCGCTGGAGGCTTTGCTAGGACATAGGCCTGAGTGTCGCTTCTCAGTGAGGCCTTCCGTGGGCCTGAGTGAGCACACATGGGAGGTGCTTGCTGCTGTGGCGCAGGATGGCAGCCAGGACTGGCTGGGCTTTTCTGGGTGCTGCTGCAGCCCTGTCTTCTTATCAGCCTGGCAGTGCCCCCCTGAATGGCGCTTTGCATGGGAACCCAGAGCCACAGGCTACTCGGGCCTAGGAGGCCAAGCTGAGTATAAGCCTGGGCCCCTCTTCCAGTGAGAGCCCCACACCAGCACCTGCTGTGGGCTATGCCTTGGCAAGGGCACCTACCCTTGAATCTCTCATCAAGATGGCCTCCTGCCTCCTCCTGTCCTTGTTTGCTCCTTTAGGATCGGAGAATTATACAGCTGCTGTAAGAAAAAATGAGAGAATTTAGTGGCTAAGGCATGGTGATGTGTGGCGTTGCTATGAAACCTGCAGCAGGGGCGCCTCCACCACCTTTATGGACGTGGACAGAGGCAGCGCCACCTGGTATTCTCAGTGGCCTCTATCACAACACTGACGGGGCTCTTGGTGATAGTCACTGGTCTCCTTTGCATGTGGGGGTGCAGGATTCTACTTGAAGTTTCTAGGATCTGCTGGGCATGATGAACAAGTAATCCACAGAAGCTTAAATAAACCAGTGGTGGCTCTGACACAGGCTGACCATCTAAATTACTTTCTAAAGTTCTTTCTAGAAACACTGAAGGGGGTGGGGGTGGTAAGGGTGACCCAGGGCTGCTGCTCAGCTTTGGCAGAGGCCTGTCATAGCTTCTCTCTGTGCAGAAACTGAGCCAGACATGAGCTGCAGCCTGGACATGTCCAGGAGACATGTCCACAGAGCTGGGCTAGTGTGTGACAGTGTGCGTGCAGGGGTGTGTTTGTATGCATGTGCATGTGTGTGTGCAAGTGTGTATGCGTGTGTGTGGCTATCATCTGCAGTTGTTGGTGGCATATCCCTCCAGCACTGCTGCCCTGCTGACCATTGCCTGTCCATGTGTGACTTTGCCCACAAATGGCAGACAGAGCTCAGTGTGTTTTTAAGGTGAGACCTGGGGTCTCGCCGTATCATGACCAGGTGCTAAGTGACTGTACATGTGTCACCTGCCTTTTGATGACTGGCTTCCCTGTCCCTGTCCAGTTGAACTGCCCAAGTGTGGCATCTCACGGTGATGCCCGCTTCTGATTTGGTGTTCCCTATAGCTACCTACATCCTGAGTGAGAGATTTCATGTAAATTTGTGGCATGTGGAAAATTTCAAATAAAAATGGATTTGATTTAGAAAGCCTGGCAGCTGTGTGATTCTTCCAGGGGGGACACTACTTTTCACTTGCAACCTTCTCCCTGGGCCTGAGGCCAGTGGCTCTATCCCTTTCTCTTTAGATGGTGGAGGGCAGGTGCCATTCTTAGGGGTTTAGGAGTTTGGAACAGGGGCTTGGGTGGAGACACAAGACCAAAAAGGGGACCAGACATTGCCTGGGGGTGAATGGTGGAGTCAGCTTCAGCAGTCAGGGGGCTGAGGGTGGGAGAGGCTACAGGACGGGGCTGGCAGGGAGGGGTATGGGTTGCTGGTGTGGCTATGCAAAGGCCAAAGTCTCCTTGTGGCCTGTAGCATCTCAGAGTGGGGCTGCCAAAGGCAGGCAGGGCTAAGTCAGCTTAGGTGTTCCCTGGGGACAGCACTGGCATTATTGTTTCTAAATATGTATGTATTATAGTAAAACATACATAACAAAAAAAAATCCACAGTTTAGGGGCATTGAGCACATTTATTAGTTGTGCACCCGTCACTACCATTCACCTCCAGAACTTTCTCATCTTCTCAAACTAAAATTTTTTCATTAAACACTCACTGACATACTCCTGCCCAGCCCTGGCACCTCCCTTTTTCCTTTCTATCTCTGTGAGTTTGACTCCTTCAGCTGCCTCCTGAAAATGGAACCCACAGTAGGCCTCCTCTTGAGACAGGTGAATTTGCAGCATCAGTTCAAAGCAGAGACCCCTCACCAGGCCTGGGCTCTGGGAAGACACTTCAGCTGAGTGTAGTGGGAGGTGGAGGACAGGTTGGGGCTAGGGCTGCAGGCACAGGGCAGTCACCAGGATAGGACCTTTGGGCAGGCTAAGGACCCTGTGAGGTCTCTTTTCATCTGAGTCCTCAAGTTGAGAGTTTCCTCCACTGAAATGGCAATGCTGGGGCCAGAACATCTTGTCCCGTCTGATTTGGGCTGAGCCAGTTACCTGCAGCTTGATGTGGATCCATAGTACTCACATGATATCTCGCTGAGGGGCTGGTACTGGAATGTTGAACAGTGGAGGGAGGGGGCCTGGCCCTCTGTGCTGCTGACCCAGAGGCCAGAGCAGGGGAGAGGAAGCTGGATGGCTTCTCCTTCAGAGGCACACATGTAATTGTCATCATAGCCACAGGTAAGGGGAGGACCCAAAGCTAAGAAACAGCTGGAAATATGCCATCTCTTTCTGTGTAACCCCCCCAAGTTCACAGTGTGAAGCAGCCATTTTGAGGTGTTCATAGCTTATGCAGAGCAGGAATTCAGACAGGGAACAGCATGATGGCTGGCCTTTGTTTGGAGCCCCTACTGGTGGTGATTCAATAGTGGAGGGGTAAAATCTTCTGGAATTGTCTTCACTCGTGTCTGGTGATTGATACTGGTGTTGATGAGGACCTCAGCTGCACGTGTGGCCAGGACACC